TACTGTTTCATTACGAATCCATGGTTGGGATACCTCATTATAAGACCAAATTTACAGTGTCGCTTATATTTAGTCTCATGCAACTCATTTCTTGATATAATTAGCTATTAGACACCTACATAAAGGCGGTTTACTTCCAACTGAGGTAAGGTACGTGTTTTATTTGGAGACACTTTAGCCTTAGACAGAACAAGAGAAATAAAACTATAAACATGAGGTAAGCAACTGCTCCATATGCCAATTTTGAAGCATCATCAATAAAAATTGTGGAGTACATTTTTCCCATTTGGATTGGCCACCTGGGCGTGGGAACTCCCAATATTGGATTTTTTCTAGACGATGTGTCACATTCACCAAATTAATTCATCCACTGTTATGAAAGCCTCAGGTAGATTTTCATCCTATAGCTTAATTTAAGTTTCAATGCTTCTACTGAAATTAAATAATTTCCCTCAGATAGTAAGGAGTGACACGAAACCTAGTGCGATCAAAACATTGGAAATTCAGCAAGCAAAACTCTCTTAGTTAATTTATTGGGCACACTGTAATTATTAGGTTTTAAACATTAACAATCTCTCTTAAGTATCCCAATTTTTAAACCTATACATTCCTACATTTTGGCACTCATCTACTAGGGTATTCTTTACGTAATTTTGTACTTCAATTTGACGTATACTATTCCAGTCTATAGAGGCATGATTTGAACTTTGCATTTTTTATTAGCTCTCCATAAGTCATTAACAGTTCCTCTTCAGTTGACGTCACTCACAGGAAATTGTCACACATAATATTGTTTGCTCATTACTTTACTCAATGGACTTCCGTACATTTAAAGCGCTGTGCATTTACTGTCGCTTGAAAGTAGGAAGGACTGGTTGTATGCACCAAATAATACGCTCCTAAAGCGAAAGGTTTTCAGAGGGCTAAGTTGGGTCAATAGGATCTCAGGCCATAAGAAGCAGGTAAATCCCGGTCAGCCTCTTGTAATCCACTCTTAGGAAAGCTTCTACTTATGGCAGCCGTATTAAGGCATAATTTCCTTTACTCTGAAATTTAATAAGATATTCCTTAATTTTTCCGTCATCGAGGACCTGTCATCAAACTGTATGAAACTAGTTACAATTTTTTGTTACTCATGGCACTACAATTAAACACAATCCTCAAAGGAGTGGTTTAGAATCCTTATTCACTCTATGATGTGGCAAATAGTGACCATAAATTTTGGCTTCGCTCAGGAGGTACCTCTTCTATAAATTTATTAAATTAAACTGCTCAGCATTTTATCATTTTAGGCAGTTAATCATTTTGGTGTCTTAATCAGTTCGTGGAGCTGAGCCTTTAATTGTCCATATGCCATTCTGTTAAATTAGTGGGCAATTCTGGATGGTTCAGTCTCACGGATGTCGTACCTAGTATTGTCCCAGATTCAACTTTTACTTCTCTCAGGTATTGTTTCTTAATGTAAAAGATCGTCTGACTTTCTTCATTTACATTTATTCCAATGTGTCAATTCCCACAATTTATGCAACTGGCTCAATAACATCCTCTATGAAAGGGATTTATAATGGGGCCGACCTTCATGAGTTAAGCACACAGTTATGGTATTGTCAGTTTCTCTAGTCTGAATTATTATTACGAGGAATCCTTACCATACATTGCATGGCTCCTGCCAGTCTTCAAAGGGTGACACACACATTTCTTTACCATACCCTTTACTAAAGGAGGCATAATAGTCAACTACCTATCTAAATAGGTTTGGGGGCATACAGTATCATCACATTACACATGAAGGTGCTAAATTTACATTATGTGAAAGTTCTTTCTGTAGCTTTACTAAGCCCTACTGTACTTAATTTTCTCTGGAAGTCTATTCACCAATTCTGCATTAACACGTTTTTTCTCATTGCCCAACCTGACCAGTTACATAATACAGTGTTCATACAATTATGCCCTTTTTATCCGAGAGAACCAGGATAATTTTAAAGTTTGTGGGTTCTCGAGTGTTCTTTCATACCATCAAGTCATTTACGTTTTATGAAGGTACGCTGGGATCCCTGGTCCATATAATGAATTTACATTTTTTTATTTATGCTTTTATCATCAAATTTTTACATGTAACAAAGTAAGGCTACTTCAGCAAAAACTTTCCATTATTAACATTTGCAGCAACTGTTACAGAAGCTACTGTTGGTGTCAGGATTGTCAACATTATATTATTATCAACATTTTCATATAGACTTGAAACAGACTATATGGTGTCTTCCTCTTGTGACATTGAATAAAGAGTTTATTTTTGACATAACAGTCCGTACACTTGTGATTACCCAAACTCCTAATTACATCTGTCAAGTTCCTACAATCTTACAACTTTTTTCTTTCCTTGAATTGTTTGCATTGCAATTCTTAGATGAATGAGTTAACCTTGAGAAAAGACAATCTCTCTTTTCATTTGACTGCGTTTCACTATTAACTGGGCTTACTCTTAGGAGCGGTACTTTATTTTCTTACCTTGTGGGAGAATTCAGTTTTTCTGTTCGTGCTACTTGTTTTGCACTATGCAACTCTTTTTAGGAATTGAATTTTGATTAGTACTGTATGGGGATAATTTTCCTCCATTGTGAAACTTGACAGATACACAGAGTTTTTATGTGTTGCATCTTAATATGAGGTAGTTGCGTGGTATTGCAAACCTGAACTATTAATTCTTGTAGACTAGTCTTATTTCCTCAGACCAAAATAACCGGTGTGATATTTATTCGTGAGCCATTTCAAAGTGTTTTACTGCTTTAATTTATTCTGTACCGTGGCACTCAATAACAGTCTGATTCTTCAGATTATATTTATTACTTAATGTTTTGAGAGTGCTCTTCCAGTTTTACTCTAAACTGCTGTAGTACCTTTGTAAGTTTGATCTGTAGATTTTAAAATTAATATATGATATTCGCTAGATCATCCCTACTTTGTTCTATATTACCATTAAGTGACCACTTCAACAAGTCAATGCTTCCTTGTAGAGTCATTGCATGGGAAAGGCTTGTAGAGTATGTGGAGCTTCTCCTCTTACCTGTCCTTTGAGGTAAAATAATTTAGTTACAAAGGCTAGATCACTCCTGTCTTGCACTGCTACTTTAAAAAATTGACCGAAATTCCTCCCAGTTTTCTCAAGGAGTAAACTCAGGTAAACACATTTCTGACTAGGAGTTTTGCAAAGTCATATTATTTGTTGGAGCCGACTGACCAATGCTGTGTTTACACATTTAATTTTTTCAAGCGCCTGACTTTTACAAGAAAGAATCTTTTCCTCTAATTCATAATACTGATCTACTTCTGTCTCATCTACTCAGTTTTTTAACAAATCTCCTTCATATTTTGTTGTAATATAATTTGTATGAATCATTTCATTACCTAAAGCATCTAATACAATTTTAAATCTTCAAGTATTTTCACAGTTTCTTATTCGATTATTCAAACATTTATATTTGCTTTTTGTTACATGAACTCTCATAGCTTGTATTGATGCTTTCTTTGCTTAATTCCACATGTTTGTCTTTACATTAATTTTCCTCATTTCACGCCATGATGCAATGTATTAAATTCAACTTTATTATAAACATGATACAAACTTACAACACTGTACAACTTACCTCTGAATAAATTCTCAGGCTACTTGAGCTTAGCAATTTAACATATAAAATTATAATATATTTTTAAACTGTGCATTAATACAAAACCTTTGCAAACCTTGGCTTATCAAAATTAATATTTTATACATATTATATAAATCCTTGCCAGAATTTGCACATAGCAAATTAATATACACTTTAATAATTAGCCATTTACACATGGCCTTATCAATTACACATACACTGGATAATGATTCTTGGCCAAAATTGGATTATCAAATTAATATTTTACTAAATATTAATCTTTGCAGATTTTGCGATAGCAAAATTAATATTATACACAATATAATCTTTATCCACACTTGTCTTATCAATTACACTTACACTGAATTGTCTTATCAAATTAGTATTATACAAATTAATATAAACTTAGCCAGACTTGACTTATCTAAATTATATATTGTATTATTACAATCAACTACACATCAGTAAATTTGGGAATTTAAAATCCACCTCCTGTCATTTCACATATAATTATTAAGTAATTAATTAATTAATGACTTCACTAATTACATCCAGTTCGAAGGATCAATGGGCAAATTAAATGTGGAAAATTGCATTTATCTGAATGTAACTAATTATGTCACATAACAGTAAATTATACAAAGTATAATTTTTATTATCAGTGTTACATAGACAAGTAGAATTTGGGACACTAGGTCGCAAAATTTGTCCCCTTCGTTACCCTACCACTCGTCATAACCACTAGTTGCTCTGGATTCCTATCTAATTAATGATATATACTTTCACCTGAATAATGGTAAAATATTAAAATTTGTGGGACTGTATATTATAAATATAAATGGTTATTTATTTACACACTATTACATAACTGAAGGTATAAATATATCTTATATAACTCACAAACTTTGACGGTGATTAATGTGTTATCATATCAGAAAAACTCACTCTAAACTAATCTATGAAAAATAATGCTGGCCAGAATTACACACATATCTTGAGAGCTTATCTGAGGTTCTCTGAGCTGTTTCTTGTCCAGTCGTTGATATCTCAAGTTATGAAGGATATGCCAATCCACCAATTTCGCCTCTTATTGAGAGGTGTCAACACAATTTTAACCTTTAGAGCACGAATAATTTTCCCATTACCAATACGTTTGTAAAAATTCAATCTCAAGGATGGCGAACGAGTCTCGTCTTGCGCAGAAGCAAAAGCTTTCCGTTTTCTATGACATAAAATATTATTAAATACAGTATGGCCATCTATTTACATATAAATACCGAATTTCTGGAAAATATATACAGTATTTTCCACATCCCCTGAAGGTTGTACTAAATTTCCGAACTTTGCTTGTAGGCACTGGAAAGAAAAAAGAGGTGATGATGTGGAGTGCACTTGCAGAAGAACACGAAAATCTGCAGCAACAGCTGAGTACGATTGCAGCAGCACAGGTGAGCGCTGCAACAGCACACAGCATCCTAGCCTATTGCAGTGTGTAGGGGTTCAAGCTAGGATATGATAATGATAATCTTTATTAAAAAAAAATATATGTTATATAAGTATGTATGATTAGTTTACATTATGGTATACGTTATGGAAAACCCCTGGTTAAAAAGAGCATTTCTGGCAGCTTTAAAATTAACTTATAACTACTGTAAATTTATTTAACTAGGATTTTTAGCGGAATGTTAAAATTTGCAATCTTTGATAATGAATATAACAATTGTTTATGATTTATGGCATTTTGGGATTTTTTATGTGTGTATGTAGTCAGGAGGAAGGCAAGAAGACATTAACAAAGACAGAAGACAGACTGTCCTGCTATCCCTGTCCAGACAGATGAGATCAATAAAGAAAAGGAAAAGACTCACTCTATCCTACATTCAAGTTAATAGTGAAATCTGCAATGATCTTGACAAAATATTTCAGGAGGTATTTACGGGTGAACTAAGACGACCGCAGGAACTGGGAGAGATCACACCCCAGCAAGGGACACTGCTACACATAGAGATAATAGGATGAGGTAAGAGAGCCCTTCCAGAGCACTAAGCCCAGCAAGGGTAAACCAGTGACCGTTGCTGCCTCAGCCACACAAAACCGGCTGTTTCTCCTTCATGTCCTTAGATACCCTCTTCCCGTACCCCGGCCATAGGTCCAGTACCACTGGGGGAATAAAGGAGACCAAACACACTGAGAACAGCGACTGCAATAAAAAAAAATATTAAAAGAGAGGAGCAAACAGGGAGCCCTGAACAACAGACTAATATCCCTGAAATGTATACATGTAAAGTGCTGGAAAGAAAAAAAAAGGTATTGTAGACGAGGTTAGAACAAAATCACATGATCTGATCTTTAATTATTAAACGGGTGGACCAGTAAGCCAGAGGAGATCCTTGGTCACATAGCCTAAAATTCCAGTTAGCGGGTTATCACATGACTAAGAACCAGTGTAGGAAGCACTATTCCTTTCCTGACGGATAAAGTACTACTATCACGAGGTTCCTGATGGATTATCAGGAAAATCTAACACTCCATTAGTGGCGCCTCACTCCCTGCCACTTCACACTACACAAATAGTGGAGGATATTGTATAAGTAAAATCAATAACAATATTCATTTCAACGGGGACAAATGTTTATATTCTCATAATCTGTCAGCAAATCGGCGACACGAAATGAAGGCTATTCCAAATTTATGTAAGTGCTGAAACACTCTCTTTGATATCTCATTGACAAAGTGCATCTCGTATATGTTGATAAATTAAGAGGAATCATTTAATATTGTGATGTTTACACACTTCTGGCAAGACATCAGCAGCAACAACAGCAGCAGTATCTTCCTTATATCTTACTTCAGTCTTTAAAAATAGTGATTAATACACATGCAACACACACACACACACACACACACACACACACACACACACACACACACACACAACACACACACACACACACATATATATAATAATATATATATATATATATATATATAATATATATATATATATATATATACCTCCCTCCTCTCTCTCTCTCTCTCTCATCTCTCTCTCTCTCTCCTCTCTTCTCTCCTCTCTCTCTCTCTCTCTCTCTCTCTCTATCCTCTATCTGTCTATCTATCTATCTAGCTATTCGTGCAAGTGAAATGAACTGAATAAGAACATAGTTGGAGTGATTTTTTATAGGGTTCAAAACCGATAAGAGTATTTAGATAGGTTGCAGTAATTTTACACACACGCACACACACACACACACACACACACACACTCACACCACACACACATCACACACGCACACACACACACACACACACATACACACCAAATAAGTGAGTACTTACTAAAATTATAGTCCTCTTCCTTTGTACCGTCCAGGATGTAACTCAGAATGTAACGGCACAAAGCGCATCGCACAAATGCAAGGATAGAAGGAACTGAAAAGGACGAAAAAAGAAAAGAAACACTAACCCAGAACGACAGCAGAAATAAGAGTGATGATGAACGTGGAACTTGGCGAGCAGAAGAAGGCTGGGGCAGAACGTACCCACCTGTTACAGAATGAGAAAGATGCAGTGGGAACAACAACGCTTCAAGATTTCTGAGCGTAAGTTTCAAGTCACTGCGATAACGACAAGGAAAAGCACTAAGCTCCGACGAGTCACTCTTTTTCATCATATTGGATATTGATTACAAGTGCACTACCTTCTTGCTGTGATTGGCACCCGCTCAGTCTGGACATTCGGCAAGCCTGTGATTCTTCCTTTATGAAGTCTGTCCCTGTTAGGTAAGAAGTGTGGAATTTACTTATTAATGAAGAGAACGGAACTGTATATAAACGGGAGACATAAAAACATAAAAGATAGCATAAATTAGGATGTGTTTTACGAGGATTTAATTGCACAGATGACTGAGGAGAACAACAGCTGTAACACAAGAGTGTGAAAAGTGTTTCAATAGATGGAAGCTAGTCGGACTGTGAGCGTTATTTTCCAATTACCTCCATCAAACGTAACATGCATTAAGGTCAATTTCTGTCTTACGCTGGAAGTGGTTAGTGGGAGACATCCCCTCTGAGCTGTGAGTCTGTAAATCGCCTAGGATTTTCCCAGGACATGCTTATGTATGAGCAAGTTTTGAATTTATCTAAGGTGCCAAGAGAAGGTATGCTAATTTATTAACAAGATTCAGTAGAAGCAAACGAATAAAAATATATAAATTTGAGTGATAGTGAAATGTTGTCAAAATATCCCATATATATAATATCTCGGATATAGAAGTGTGGGATATGTTTTAACGTAGTATTAGTAATGTAATGCATCGATTTTTAAAAATAGATTGCTGGTTGTGTGAAACTTAACACCGCGCCCTTGTGAGTAACCCAGAAGCATTGACTGTGAGAAAGACTGTACAACATCCTGCTTCATGTTTGGAGTCTTGTTAATATTATGTATAATTAAATCACATGAAGCGCAAAGTTAACAGCATTGGAAAGTAATCAGATATTTATACAGACCAAGAAGGGTTATTGTTTATTGGAGTTTATATACATTTATAAGTATATCTAAATCAATGAAATAGTTTTAAAAAATAAGTTTATGTAAGATAGTGTTTGATATATATAAAAAATAATATAGTCCATAAATACTACAACTTTTTTTTAACAACGAGCGATCGCAACCAAGCATGACCCAAAATGAAAAAAAAAACTTAACCATCTTACTTCCATCAGATACTTGCATAAGGATGTTTCTACAGTTTAACGCAGTACATCTAACACCCTCTCGAATCACACGTGTCTTCCCTGTGATCAATCGTCCGGCTGAACCGGTTTTCCCTGACCGGTGTAAATGTTACTTTGTCATCACGCTCATATCAAAAACCTCTTTCTCCTAATCACTCCTATCAAAGTCACGTTGCCTGGCTGGTGATCAAGCCCCTGCACACCAAACCTTACCTGCTCCCTGAACCTCCGTAGGCACCCCTCCGCCCTTCTGACGATACACTCTGGTACACTGTGTCGCTCCATGGTTGGCCTACTGTACCTCACAATTTCCTCAGCCCTCTTACACAGTTTTGGTAATCCCGCAACTCCCCAACTCCATATAATATAAGTATATATATTATATATAAAAATATATAATATATATAATATATTATATAAATATATATATATATATATATATATATAATATATATATATATATAATATATATATATATATATATAATAAATATATATATAATTTTCAGCTTCCCTTGTACATCATTCTAGTCACTTGATCACCCTTTTGAACTTCGTACGTAGGCCGTAGGCCTCTCTCAATCTTGATAAGATTGATGGAGTGATTACATCAACTCCATGCTGAAGAACTGATTACGTCAATCTCCTTCTGATGTTCTCTGTTCTTCTTTGTACTGGACTGATGAAGCCACTGTGTGGCGAAACGTTTCCTCAATAAAGATACCCAAGTGATGCACATGTGTCTAATTTATCAACTTTTCGGTTCTCTGAACCATTTATCTACAACATTTAACTTTTCTCCACCAGACAACGTACGGGAACACGTCGAAAGGCAATGCTCCTGAACTCTCTCCAGCCGACGAATTCTTTCAGTAAGTCAATACAAACCAAACTTATTTTTAGGCAAGCAGTAGAAGTGACGTGTAGCCGCTCCTTCTTACACTTTCCCTTCCCCGCTCTATGATGCCGAACACATCTTCACAAAAATTCCATAATTGCTAAGTAATTCAAGCTTCTGTAGCTGCTAAATAATTAACGAAATACTTGACGATATTATCAATGCCTTGCTGAAGTTCTCCAACTCAGGTTGACTGATTTCATTACATTGAAACCCATCCTGTGTGATGGAATGTGACATGGAAACAGCTGGCCTTTGTTCCCACTATGTAATTATCATTTACAGTAGGGTTGCAGCACACTGCTGATGTATCCAGATTTGATAAAACTGACGGGTAAGAAGGATAAGACGTAAACTTTAAAGTTTCCGTCTTATCCTTGTACACTTTCCTGTCCTTTCCTTTTACTCTTCTTCGCCCATTACTTGCTTTTTCCATTCCTCATTTACGCATCCCCTTTACTCTTTCCCCTTTCCCACTCTCTCTACATTTATATGATAAGAAGGGACGCCGTTATTTCAGTAACTGCAAATCGGTAAACTATGCATACATACATACATACATATATGGATTGCATTAATATTTACTGTCAAGAAGGGCGCCAATTTCCTGTGATACAAGTCATTCATTTGTCAATTAGTTTTCCATTAATTTATTATTCAGAAAATATTTTCATATTGCAGTAACTACATCCTGGAGATCACCGGCGGCATAACAGAACTGGGAGGCTTCACCTGGCCAGTGATGGCAGCTACTGTTTTTATCTGGGTGTTCGTCTTCCTCTGTGTCTTCAAGGGCATCAAGGTCTTCGGCAAGGTGTGTTGTGGATCATTCTCTTCCTCTTTTTTTTTTTTTGTTTCTCTCTCTCGATCACTCACACCGTCCGCCACTTCTTCAGGTGGTTTGGTTCACGGCGACATTCCCCTTCGTGATGCTGTTTGTAATGCTCATCCGAGGCCTCACGCTGCCCGGGGCCTGGAATGGCATATACTTCTATATCTACCCAGACTTCGAGAAGCTGAAGGATCTGAGGGTAAGTTTCCAAATGAGGAAGATCTCTCAAACGTATCCTTGGATTCTAAGTTATCCTCTTCCCTCTCTGTATCTTATCCTTTATTTTTTCTCCTCTATATCTTTTCACTCTCTCATCACAAATTCTTACCCTTCTCCCTCCTATGTCTCCCCCTCACCTTCTCTTCCCTGCAGGTATGGGCAGCGGCAGCAGGCCAGATTTTCTACTCCCTGGGGCCAGGATGGGGCATCCTTACCACGCTGGGGTCCTACAACAAGTTCCGCTATAGATGCCAGCGAGATGCCATCTTCGTGCCTGTCCTCAATTGTGCCACCTCCATCTTGGCTGGTTTCGTCGTCTTCTCCGTGCTGGGCTTCATTGCTCATCGCAGCGGTGTCTCTGTACAAGATGTTACATCAGCTGGTGAGAGGGGAGAGCGGAGGAAAAGGAGGGGGGGGGTAGAGAAGGAGAAGATGAATGGAGGAAGAACTAGTGTTCATAAATGTTCACCGCCCCTCCTACAAGACTTGCTTGATGTTCTTTACTGTTCATTCCTCCAACAGGTCCTGCCTTAGTGTTCATCACGTACCCAGAGGCCCTGTCTCTCATGCCATTCGCTCCATTTTGGGCCGTCTTGTTTTTTCTCACCATATTCTTCTTGGGCATTGACTCCCTGGTGAGTATCCATATCTTCTTGACATTGCCACTAGTTCTCCCCACAACACCAGTGCAGCACAACTAAACTCCGCAAAACACCATCAGAACTTCCCTGCACCATCGTAACTGATATATCTGAATAGACGAGGATAAACACTAACAGTTCTACCACTCTTTCCTTTCAGAAAAATATAATAGTTTTCCTAGGAGATTTTCACCAAATACAAGGAAAATTTAGCTGACTTTCAGCTGATAATGAAAATGAAATTGATTTCCCAAAACAAATTACAATATTTGCAAAAATAAATAGTTATAAAGTGTTATAAGGTATTTAGAAAGTCAGTGATTATGCAGAAGTTTTCGGGTATTGTATATAACCTCATTATACCTAAAATGTATTTTTTTTCTGTACTTGATAAAAAAAATAGCATCGCGACCCTCCCCCACCCGTCTCTGTTCTCCCACAGATCGCTCACATTGAGACTACAACTATGTCACTGGTGGACAAGTATCGTGTGTTTGGTAGATACCGAGGCTTGGTGACCCTGGCTGTGTGTGTGCTGGCAGCACTGGCCTCCCTTATCTTCTGTACCAGAGTAACTACCTAATGACGCCTCCACACACTCTTTCACCAGATCATATCTGATTACCTCCCATTTCCTAGGTGCTGTGTGATTCCTACAGGTTTAGCGCCTTCCCATGAGTGCATCTCGTAAATATTTTAACGTGCAATAATTTGTATGCAGTATGACCGGTACTGGTCATAAAGCATAAAAGTTTATGACCAGAACTGGTCATGAAGCACCCAGGAAAGTGAAAGGTAATCAGATTTGATCCATGGGGAGGTTAGCTCCGATTCATTGAATCAAAAGCACTTCACCTGTGTTACAGCACACCCTTGAAATGTTGTACCCTCCCAGTTACTCCTTTCTCATTAACCTTTGATCCATACGGGTTTACTGCTTGTTTTTAAACAATTATAATAATACAAGGAAGAGGAATCAGGGGCCCTCCATCAATAACAAGGCAAAAGATATCTCCCATTCGTTGGAGCAAGAGCCTTTCACCACTCTCAATACGTTGAAATGAGAACCTCTTCATACACTGGAAATTACGGTAATTACAGATTCACTGCAACAGTGTATCTGTAATTACCGTATTTTCCGGCATATAAGGCGCAAGACAGAAGTATTGTAAGTAAACCAGAAATCATATTTAAGGGTTAATTACGCTCTTACTTTACGCCAAAGCGTAACCCAAAGCCTCCCCTGACCTTGAGCATATAAGGCGCAGGCTGATTTTCCAATACTTTTTTATGGAAAAAAAGGCGTGACTTATATGCCGGAAAATACGGTAGTTTCCGAGGGTTTAGCGCTTAACTCCATTACATTATTATTAATGTCTCTATATTAGCGGAAGGAGGATCGAGCCTCCAGCATTACGTGCGCTAAATGACCCTCACGTTAATGGTTAAAATAATAATGATCGTTATTTCCAGGGCGGAATCTACTGGCTGACGCTGGTGGACTGGTACAGCGCCTCCTTCACGCTCGTCCTCAACTCCCTCTGCGAGGTCCTGGTCTTCAGCTTCATATATGGTGATTATTATTCCATTCACGGGGAAGTGCTAGACCCGTAGGGGGTCATACAACATAGTGAATGGAAGGCAATCATGTTTGATCCGAGGAAAAAAAAGGGGAATGCTACTTGCATCTAGGAGCTCCTCGATAGTATCTTCCCCATTTTCCCTTGAGGGATTTACATGTATTGATAGACTTTTACGAGTTTTTCTCTATCTACACTATCACATTTTATACATGGAATATAATTGGTTATATTCACAAGAAAGTATTAAAGCCGCATGGGTGATACAATATGGTACGCTGCAGGTGCTGGCAGGACGGTGCGTGATCTGCAGATGATGACCTCTGAGAGAATTGGTTACTACTGGTATGCTGTCTGGCTCCTGGTCACCCCCCTCGTTCTGCTGGTGAGTCTGGTTCCTGGTCACCCCCCTCGTTCTGCTGGTGAGTCTGGTTCCTGGTCACCCCCCTCGTTCTGCTGGTGAGTCTGGTTCCTGGTCACCCCCCTCGTTCTGCTGGTGAGTCTGGTTCCTGGTCACCCCCCTCGTTCTGCTGGTGAGTCTGGTTCCTGGTCACCCCCCCCTCGTTCTGCTGGTGAGTGTTCCTGTCACCCCCTCTCTGCTGGTGAGTCTGGTTCCTGGTCACCCCCCTCGTTCTGCTGGTGAGTCTGGTTCCTGGTCACCCCCCTCGTTCTGCTGGTGAGTCTGGTTCCTGGTCACCCCCCTCCTTCTGCTGGTGAGTCTGGTTCCTGGTCACCCCCCTCGTTCTGCTGGTAAGTCTGGCTCCTGGAACAGTTAGCGGCCATAGGGAAAGTGAAACTGAGTGCAAGAAAAAATCCATTATATGCAAAGGAAAGAGTAGATGAATCACGGAAAATTAATGAAGGACAAAGAGGTACTAAATGCAGGAAAAATATATATTAATTCATCCTACACCCAAAGCCGCTTCAAAAAATCAATCTCTCACTGCACGTGAAGAATTAGCAAAAACATCTGCATAGGGAAGTACACATAAGTACAATTATCATACATAAAGTAAATTACCTAGGATAACCCCCAGAAAAGTCAGTGACTTATTTCCATTGGGGTCCTTGTAATATCTTATTATTCAAGCCTTAGAAATTAAAACAGTGAAAATCAGTTACAATGAAGGAGATATACTAGGAATAACGTAAACGGAGTTATTTGCATTACATTAAAGCGATGATCAGCTTACAATAAGAGGTACACGAACGTTAGCTATACAAGAAATCTGCATGCACACGCCTGCATTAATACATGTTTTAACAATTATTTAATTAACATGCAAACAAATATGATACACAGTAGTAACACTTAAATCGCGTGTGTTGTGTGCATCAGCTGATCTTCATCAACATCATGGTGAGCAACGCTCCTGCCAGCTACAGAGGGGAGGTGTTCCCTGGCTGGGTGCAGGCTCTAGGCTGGTTCTCTGCCCTTGTCTCCATAGTTGCCGTCCTGCCTATTTCGTGTACTACATCACCTGCGCATCCAGGGGCACCCTCACGCAGGTGAGCACCAGTATCGTTTAGCAGGTAAGGTGAATATAAATTCCCGTTTGGTCCGACTGATTAATGGTAATTGAACCGGTTTACTTTTTTGAGTCCCGGGATCCCGTGTTGTGATGCAATTCATGTACCTGTTCTTATACTCCTCGTCCTCTACTGCTGTTTCTCTAACCTGTCCTCACCTGACCTTCGCTGTAGCGTGTGTCTACTGGGCTGCAACCGTCGAAGAGGTGGGGCCCTTTGGAGGAGAGCTACAGGAAGGAGTGGGAGGTCTTCTGCCTCCAGCATCCCCTCCGTCACCGCCTCCTCCACCCAGACCTCACATTACATCGTCCCATGCACCAGAGAAAGGAAACACCTTGCTGCCCTGTCAAGCAACACCTGAGTCTGCCGCTCCTGGAGTTGTCTTCGACCAAGGTCGCTGAAGTTTGAGGTTGTTGGCAAGGAATCACGGTCATGTGTTTTTCAATACTGCCAGCAAGCAATGTCCTCAATGTTAAATAAACAATATATTCACGAGGAAGCTTTATTTCCTCAAGAAGTCATAAGGCTCCTGGGGAATGAGAGGTAATCAGATTTGATCCAAAGAGGAAGATAGCTTTAATTCCTTGGAACAAGGGCCCTTCACCAGTATTAAAGGTACCCTCTCTCCTCTTTAAAGAAAAAGCTAGGACTGCAAATAATCATTGCTTTGTCTATGATCGATATATGGGTCTCAAATTGAAAACATTTCTTTAATTTTATTTAGTATGATTCCTTCTCTCCTTGTCAGTAGGAGTCTGGTGATTCTACACATCCACTGGTATACTATTCTACGTTGTCTTAGGATATCATTTAGTAGATCTTATGATAAATATTGTCTTGTAATTTTCAGAAATAAAAGAATTAGGATGAGTTGTAAATATTAATTCTGCCATTTCCTGTTGAAACTTCCAGTTAATAAGCGAGTGTTTTTTTTATGCATCCCTTTTAAATATTACTTAAAAAATAAGTGTGTGTGTGTCTACATAACCTTACCCTCAAGGGAGGTTCCATGGCGCTGGTGAGGGAACTGGATCTGTGTTCCAGTTCCCTGAATTAGCATGAATACCTTCCATCCCCCCTCCACATACGCTGTATAATCCTACGGGTTTAGCGCTCCCCATGATTATAATAATAATATACATATCCTTGATAAAAGACATGCCCCTCGGGGGTATATACCCTCCTTGTGTCTGCTAGGTTTGTTGTTTAATTGGTTTTAAAATCTTTCGGCTCCGCGTAACCTTTTCACCACCAGAGAAGAATGCGTTAATGCCTAAAAAAAAAAAGGCTCGAAGTATCAGCGTTATATACACTAAGAGAGAGATATACATCTCGGTGTATATAACCTGCTTGTTTGTATATTCAAGACAAATGAGAACGGCGGTACTAAAGACGTGTTTTAGTTTCGAAATCTTTTGCGAGTGAAACTTCGAAGCCCAGGCTGGGACCCCACTGTGAGTAAGCTGACTGACTGGCGGTACAGCAGTCATTGTTGAGGTAATACCACAGTGGTGAAGCAGGGAGCACGAGTGTCATACTGGGTGCTACTAGTAGTGAAGATGACGATGATCATAGCAACAACACTGGATAAGCCCAAGTGTAACAATGAACCATCAGATTGTCAATGTAAGTTCTGGGAATTTGATTCTTGTTGATATGAAATAGAAATTAAGTTTTTGTTGCTTTTTTTCACTAGCTATGACGCTAATCGGTGTTGGGATTATGGAACTAGTCTAGTTGTGGTAGGCTATAGTTATTTAAACTGCTTCCTGGTAATTAATCGTACGTTTGTGTTTACTTTTTATATATTTATTTCTGAGCAAATGTATACCCGGTGAATATTTATTCCTCGTTAACTGTAACACTGTGGAAACGTTAATTTCCTGTTAAAGGGACACTTTTTTTTATTTTTCTTGTCCTTTGGATAATTCTGGGGAAAGGAGGTTATCTGTCGCAGCTTCCAGAGGTCGCCGCACCCTGGCTGTCCCAGACCAGGCTGCTGGCCTGTTCGACTAGGCTGTCGACTTGATCACAATATTAAAGTAGATCCCACCACCATTTAGTCTTCCGTCTTAGTCTGAATTCATCAATAAAGTTAATAGAACTGTAAAACTAGGCTAGTGAAGATTACTCGCAACCAGCACCTCCACCTGGAGCTTCCACTCAGACAGCTGAGTTCTCTAAAGATTTAAGGCGAAATGAAATTCCTTGTTCTCCCCTCAAGGGAGGTTCTTGGACGCTGGTGAGGGGTTCTTGTTCTAGGAAACTGCATCTTTGCTCCAGTTCCCGAATTAAGCCTGAACACTTTCCACCCTCCCCCCTACACTGTATAATCCTACGGGTTTAGCGCTTCCTTTTCTTACAATAATGCCTTATTCTAAATATTTCATTTGAAAGGATAAAAAAAAAAACAGGAACTTTTTTTTTTTTTCCCCCAATTTTTTAACTTAAAATACCCAGTGACTTCACTTTTTTTTTTTATTTTATACCTTATTCAAACTTCCATAATATACTTTATTAGTATTAATTGTCTGCAGTCTTAAATATGTATAGACCAACACGGCAAATAACTTGTATAGATCTAAAGTGACATCCAATTCTCACAACACCAGATATTCTCTAGCTCTTTTTTTTTTTTTTTTTTTTTTTTTTAACGCGCCACACGGAAGTCCCTTGTTGGCGGGAAGGTGCTCTTGATCCAAAAAAAACTTTCCTTCCCCTTCTTTGGATCGAACTTGAATATTTCCAATTCCCCAGGGCTATATTAACCCTATGGGTTCATGCACCCTTTTTTGACTTGAAGTCAATAATAATCCAAAGTAATCAATTTTTGTTTTCACCCTAATTGGGGGGTTTTCGCATATTAAGGAATTAATGTTACTGAAATTAGGATTAATATATTTGCCTCAAATGATTCATTGAAACTAAGACGGTAAAAGTGTAAATAGGAAGAGACTGCCTTGCAGATCGCTCTTTGGTTGGTGCTGGTTCCAACACCTCCCTCTCCAGTTCTCCCTTGCTGGAACTTCATCTGTCGCTCTTGTTAGTTCTGTGTAATCTGTCCAGGCATAGCCTAGACTGTGATTTTCGACGTTTTAATGAGGTTGTGTGTAACACTGTCACTGAAAAAACTCGGGTCCTGAGTTGTAGCTTCTGGCCTAATTTGTACTGGTATCTGTGCACCGTCACAGTCGGGGATTTTCTTATGCTGAACTTAGATTCAGTAGTATGGGAGTTTTGTGACTTTTGTGGAGGATCTGCAGATGGTCCCTACTTAGTGTCGTTATGTTATCTCCTTGTTCCTGATTCTGCGTTGCTGCTGCTTGTTATATTGCTGTTCGGCGAATCAGTAGTCTTACTGTTCAAGCAAGCTGTTCTGATTGCCAGGTTGGTCAAAAAGTTAGTTTGACTTTGTCAATCGCTGGTAGAGTAGTCTTGAGACATGAACTACTTAAAGCACTTACACACACATTGTATATATTAGTATTATGTCTTAAATTTAGGGACAATGTACCAGACGGTACTTAAAAACCATAGATATATGTGCCTTCAGTGTAGGAACTTTAATCCTATATTAAATTGATGTACTTTGATTTTGTCCACCTGAGATATTAAAATGAGGGATAATTTCACTCTAGGCATGAATATCCCCACGTGACTTTAGGTATAATTCAGTTTCAGGGTTTTTTTTATTAAATTGCTTTTTCCTGATGTACAAAGTTACAGATGGTGTTGTACACCAGAGTGTTGTTGCTGGGTTCTGCTCTTCACCTACTGGCTGGCCCTTGGTAAGTTTTGGTTTGGGACTTTGTAACTTGGTTATAACATTCATTCGCAGGGTATTGATGGGTTCTTGCGGGATTACTAAAGCAGTTCTCAAGAAACTTGGAATTTAATATTTGCTACTGCCATGACTTCCTAAATAATAAAAAGCTCCTTGCAGTGTGTGGCAGTGTTCGGACTATGGCTTTTGGCACTAAATTTCGGCAGTGAGCTGGAACTTCCCCCCAACCCCCTCCAGAGATCATTTCAACCTCCACAACAACCCCTTATGTAAACCCTTACTATTATGCACACAGGTAAGTGAACGCGAACCCTACACGAGTAAAAACTCTTAATCTTAAGACCTATACTTGAAATTTGCTTTTTTTTTTCTTTGTCCCTGTTCTTCCAGGCACGATTCCTCCCAAGAAAGGCAGTTCCCAAACTCGCGAGTTCAGGGCCTACATTGCTGCCACTCACCGCTACGCCAAACTACACTTTGGATCCCAGACTGTACTTGGTCTTGCCCTGCGGTACAGCTTTACTTGCCGCTGGGACCATCATGCTTGGGGGAGTTTTCTCCAGGAAGCTGTTCTCGACTACTGCTGTAAGTTATTGAAGACTCAGTCGTTAACCAGGCTGTTACTGGCCCGCTGGCCCACATGAACCACAGCCTGGTTGATGTGGCACTTGGTGGTAGTGATCCAGTTTACTCCTACACTTGTTCCGGCAACATTTCTAACATTTACTAGTATTAAGTTGAATAGTCTTTGCTTACGGATGTTTTTTTAATGGCCGTGGTATCCCTGCTTTTCACTGGGTCTGTTTTGCCTCTCCCCCATCTCGCACCAACACGTTATGCAGTGTAGACGAGGGACTTGGCCCTCGTATATCTTTCGGGTGCATCACTTAGCTCCGGAGAGTACATTCTCAGAATTTTGGGGTTCCTATTAGTTCTAATACATTACTGGTTTATTCAGACAGTAAAATGTCCTAGTGCTCTCCCTCCGGTGACCGGAACAATCAAACTATCCTAAGAGCACAAGTGGTTGTTACCCACCGGAACCCCTCAAGCAAGGTTCCTTGACGCTGGTGAGGGGCTCTTGATATAAGGAATTGTATCTGTGCTCAGGTTCCCTGAATTGCGCCTGAATACCTTCCGTATCCCCCCACAGGCACTGTATACTCCTACGGGCTTAGCACTTCCCCCCCCCCCCTCTTGATTTTAATAATGCCCATGAGAAACCTTTCAAAATTTCAGCATTTTCTACTGAGGAAACTTTTATTCTTTTGGCATCTTCTGGAAAGGATGACACAAAGTTGTGGTCAGTTGATTTATCTGCTGTTAGGAGGAAATGGTAAAGGCGCGAGGTAATTAACTTTTTAATGTGCTAAAGCTACATTTTGCATTTTTTCTGCTAATTATAAGCATTGATAGAATTTGGATGTACTGGTTACCTTATGAGACATCAAAGTTAACAGCTGTCAGATGCTTTAGCGAAGTCTAGATAACATATTTGGTTCTTCCAAAACCTCCGTTATCGTCTTAGTTTAATACCAAGCATGATCTCTACGCTCTAGGCTGGAATATTGCTGCACACTAACAGCACCTTTCAAGGCAGGTGAAATTGCTGACCTAGAAAATTTTAAGAGAACCTTCACGGGCGCATAACTGAGATAACACCTCAATTACTGGGAGCGCTTGAGGTTCCTAAACCTGTATTCCCTGGAACGCAGGCGGGAGAGATACATGATTATATACACCTGGAAAATCCTAGAGGGACTAGTACCGAACTTGCACACGAAAATTACTCGCTACGAAAGCAAAATACTTGGCAGACGATGCAACATCCCCCCAATGAAAAGCAGAGGAGTCACTAGCACGTTAAGAGACCATACATAAGTGTCAGGGGCCCGAGACTGTTCAACTGCCTCCCAGCATACATAAGGGGTATTACCAATAGACCCCTAGCAGTTTTCAAGCTGGCACTGGACAAGCACCTAAAGTCGGTACCTGACCAGCCGGGTTGTGGCTTGTACGTTGGTTTGCGTGCAGCCAGCAGTTAACAGCCTGGTTGATCAGGCTCTGAAACCACCAGGGAGCCTGGTCACAGACCGGGCCGCCCCGGGGGGGTTGACCCCGGAAACTCTCTCCAGGTAAAGAGGTAGTACTTTCCATAATTTTCTCTTCCCTTTGGAAGATTCCGCGTGATCCGAGGCACTGTAGGGTGTTTTGTATGGTAAAAGAAATTACCATGACAAACTATACCTTCAAAGTCTGGGACTTTTTTTTTTTTTTTTTTTTTTTTTTTTTTTTTTTTTTTTTTCTTTAGAAAGTATATTTTAATTGGTATCCTTCATAATATGAATATTTCATGTAACTGTTGTCACCAGGGTCTGCATACGTCTGCCGTGCTGTGGGTACTGGTACTAGTGATTATGATTCTGTACAATGCCAATGCCGTCAACTTCTACAGTGAGAAAAACACTGCTAGCGTCTGGTGGGTGGTGGGGTGTCCACGCCAGCCTCCTCCTCCTCCTCAGTCTGCAGGTAATGATTACAAACTTTTAAGACTTCAGACATTTTTGTCAGCACAGCTAAACTTTTTTTTGGGGAGAGGGGGAAATAATTTTAATGTTGCCTTTTGCTTCTCAAATTTGTAACCATTGTTCTCCATTGCTAGGTGTGTATTAAGTTATTTACCTAAAGTTGGCTCGCTCCTTTAAAACGTTAAAAATTTCCTTATACAAGGCATGTTGGTGCATTTTAATATTTGCCCTTTAGGTTTCTTGCAAAGTTTGCATTACTTTTATACTTCTCATTGTGCAGCCGTTTTATTTTTACTTGGCATTCTTTTATCAATCCTTTCGTGGCTAATTTAATTTTAACTAATCTTTTAGGCACTAGTGCTAGTTTGATAGCCAAAACTGAAGTCCCCCACACTTAAGTTATGAAGTTTAAATTAAACCTCTGGTATATTCTGTCAACACTGGTAAACACCACCTGTACTTTTAAATCATAAAGCTAGGTCCTAGTTAACATGCATAACTAGACACGTCAGTGGGCCCCCTCCACTGTACTTTACATCACAATAGCAACATAGCAAGACTTTTTGGCGTCGACTCTTGGTTTTTTTTACAATTTTCCTCTAATCTGTTTATACCATTATTTCTTTGATCCCACTAATGTCCTCTAACATGACATCACTGATACAGAGAGAAATTGGTAAATGGAGAAAAAAAATCCCTTGCAGCTAGTGATGACCATATGGGAGCTACGGAGGCAGAAGACTGGTTGGCCGACGCTGGTGCCTGGGCAGATCTTCACTCTAGGCGCCATGCTGATAGCTGGCAGGATGGTGAGTTTGGAGAGGGGTACCACTGTTAGTGTATGTATATTTATTGGGGGTTTTAAGGATACAGCGTATGGGCAGTCAAATTGTAAGTGGGAGATGGCGGAAGGAAAGTGCACGCGACTCTAGCTAAAAGATAGTTTCAAGAAAAGTAGTCTTGGTATTCATTCCTAACATTAGGGTTTTTCAGGTTGAAACTTGTCCATAAAGGGTAAAGTTGTTTATGGATTGTGATTTTTGCAGTTAAAATTTCATTATACTATGGTAACTGTTCTGCAGACCCTGTCAGTGTACTTTACTCTGAACTTCTACAACTCTTGGATGATATTCGGCGTGCAGGACTTTTTCTACCAACCTAGACTTCTGGCCATCGTCTGTGCTGCGCTTCCCTGAGCAGTACGTCCTACCCTGCGCCACTGCTTGTGCCTACGGTGGCACCGTTTGTTATTTAGGATTTGTTCTCCCCTTTTTTGGGTCCCGTAAATAACGTTCTGGTGAGTGTACTGGCAACGTCCCCTGTAGCTGCTCAACTTTTTGGTTTAATGTTGCGTTATGTAGTAACATGGCAGTCATTAATGTGGTCTTGTGCAGAGACGTACTTTACATTTACACAAGTGTGAGATAAAAGTATTAAGACAATGTTGACACTACCTGCTAAGTATATGGGAATGATAGTTTTATAAAGGAAACTTGGGCACACGTTAGCTTATTCTGTGTAAGGGAAAAATCTCAAAGCACTCTGCAGAAATTTTCTCGAAGGTTAAGTAAATGACCCAGGTATATTAACATCGGTTCTCACCACTGTATTACATCAGTCTGGCTATCATGATGGCATTACAATAGGACTCTTCAGTTTTTTAATGTTAACAAATGTTTACTAAAGGTAATTTTTTTTTCAGAGGGCCTGTAAACCCCTACGGTCTGTGCATTACTGTAATATCAGTATTGCAGTAATTACTTCTCCACTCTTCGTGAAGATTATAATCGGCTCTTTTGTAAGGCCAACACTAATGGTTTTGGCAATATAAACCAGTATAATTTAGTGTCTTGCAAGCCATCTTGTGCTTCGTCATCCCAGATGTACTAAAGGAGACTCAGAGGTATTTAGGGTGATGGTCAGTCGCTTACAATCTTCGGCAAGGTTTGCTAGTGAAAGAGATTCAGGCCATCGTCCATAACACTCGCTAATGTCGAAGATGCGTTGACACGGGGAAAAAAATTGTTAATGAAGACATTACATGTAACTTTTTCTGCTGGTGAGTACCGTTAATTATTCGTCAGTAAAGATTGCAATGCTTGCTTTAAAAATGTTCACAGGGCACCACTTTCCTCCGTAGGGCAGTGAGGTATATGGGTAGGGGGCACATTTAAGAAGTACCCATAATCACCCAAAGGATGCTTAAGAGCCCAGTAATTTTTAGCATAAATGGGATATTTTCAGCTTTTCTGACTGAATATGGGTCTTAAAAATTTCGAAATGTGAAAGACTAAAATGTTATCTTCTAGCGAATGGTGGGCGGCTTTACTTGAACTACCAAGTGAAATGATTGTCAATAATATCTCTAACTTTCAAGCTTGTACAGGTGCAGGCGTGTGTGGCAGCGGTACTGGCAGTGAGTGGTGACTGGAGTAACCTCTACATCACTTGGGGACTGTAGTTATGTTTTGTGTGATGCTGCTGTTCTCCCCCAGGGTACTCCCATCCTTTTGGTGCAGCTAGCTGCCTTCAATCGCATTAAGGCTGCTAGATTTTTACAGGTAATGTTTGTAATACTGATGTACAGTGTTTAATTTTTACATAATTGGCTCGTGGTAATTGAGTAAAACATCTAAGTAGCGAGCGCAGTGTATCCTGCAGATAGGTTATGTAGATCGGGGTTTAGCCTTTCCCCAAGAAACCCCCTTTTCTTAACTTGCATATAAAGCGCACACTGTCCAGTAGCCACCTCCTTGCAGGCGTTTCCGCACCCTGTGTTTCATAGCAGGTTTGCTGCCTGTGGGAACTCGTTTAACTGCCCACGGCTTCTACCTATTCGATGAAGTCCTCATTTTTTTTTTTTTTTTTTTTTTTTACTTTTTTTAAGTAGCACTTCTCTTATTGCTTGTATGACTGTTTTTTCTTAGCTAACACTAAATTATCTTAGGCCAAAGCATTTAAAGTGTTAATTTCGCATTTACTGTGTAATTTTTTTGCACTAACTTTTCAGGTAACCTGCCTGTTATTAGAGTGGCGCTTTGCTGTTGGTGGGGTCTGTGGCAACCTCTGTATGGACACTTCTGTTGGTCACACAGCAGCTGCTGTCGTCAACCTGATCCTCGGGTTTTGTCTGGTAACTAATCTCAAATATACGTTGTACAACTTGAAAGGTATCGGTGAACGGTGGCGGGTTTGTGCTTTGTGCGTATAGGAAGTGAATTGAAATTACCCAATAATTTCTTAGTCTTTCCAATAATCTTAACGTGTTATCCCTGATTTTTTCAGGTATCTTTATAAATTTACAAAGGTTGCAGACATCTACAGTAAAGTACAGAGGCCTGTACTAAAATCCGATGTAATCGTGGAGATCTAAAGAAACGACTTAGAAATTCCACATTCTAAATGATTAGTCAGATCAGTTTTGCTAGTGGGCATAACTTTAATGACAGTCCTCGAGCTCTGGTAGAAGTTTAGTCTTAATGATCCAGCAAACTGTTTAAGATATAAACGGCCTTGTTAAAAATATTTTGGGGGCGTCTGACCCAATTTTCCATCAAATGTCACTTTGACTCTAACACGGGGTAAAAAAGTGGTTGACTGATTCAGTTGAAATTTTGCTTAGCGAGTTTTAACGGCAATGACAAAAAATGAGCAATTTGCATGTTTTCCAGTGCAGCTGACCAGTATGAGACTAATTTTTGTCCTCCCGTTCAGTACGAGAATTGGTGAAAACCTACAAGAGTGTTCGGTCAGTGAAAATGTTAATCACGCTTAAAAATTACATTCTTTTTTTGTCAGAAATGAGTAATGAAAAAAGTACCTTCTCTTTGTCCTACTAAAATCCATAAGAGATAATTACCGAGGCCTCCTTAAGGTAATAATCTCGGCAAAGCTTGAGACCAGTGTTAGCTCGCTTTATGCACAGCAATCAATTTTCGACTTGAATATAGCGTTGTGTGATAGCTTTATTTAACCTACAGTTCGTTGTAAATAGCTGACTTCCCCTTCTCTTGAAAAAAAGACTTTTTAACATGCGAGTTAGAATAGGTTATGGTTTAAATTGGCATTTTGAGGACTGCTAATCAAGACAGCAAATAAATATTGATAGCTAATTAAGATAGCTGATAATGGCAGTTTACAACAAAACTAGCTAGTATTGAAGAACCAAACTGTTATTACTTGGGCAAAAAAAAAAAAAAAAAAAAAAAAAAAAAATTGGTTTGCGGTACTTACTGACTTGATTTTTAAAGAATCCTCATTTTTACTAGGTTTTTAAAATTTTGGCCTCTTCAAGGGGGGCTCCTTGGCGTGGTGAAGAGGCTCTTGGTCTGAGGAATTAGCCCTGTCGGTCTTCTTCCTCAGACCGAACCTAATTACCGCCCATTCTCCCCTCCCCTATCCCATCCTCCCCTTTTTCCATTCCTCCTCCTCCTCCTCACCCCTCCCTTTTGCCCTTCCTCTTTTTAGCCTTCGTGATTTCTCCCACAGGGGCGCTAGTTCCTAGGTAGGGGAAAGGACACCGGGGTCCATCCCATTCCGTTGAGGTTTCTTGGCGGTGGCGTAGTTTGCCGTGGAATCTGGATTGCCTAGGGATGTCCCGATCCCTCTCCGGTATCCCGGAGTAGCTTTGGGTGTCTTTTGGGCGACGGGTGTAGCTTTTGGAAGCCCCTTTCGGATTCGGGGGTGGTGGCTGAAGGAGGTATGCTTTGTGGCGGATATCCCGGCCCCCCCTCTTTTGTCCACCGAGGTAGCTCGGCAGATGTGAGGTTGCAAATCCCAGATTGCTGGTTTACTGGCATGAAGGGTAGGGTATGGCAGGGGTTTCCCCATGCTGCATCTGGCTACTAGCGGTTGTCGAGTCCTCTTGGGCGCGGAGGGAGATTTCTGGCCCTTTCATTCCTCCTAGGAACTATCCCTCCCCGGTCCCCCCTTTTTTTTTTCTTTTTTTTTATTTTTATTTTCTTTTCTTCTTTCTTTTTTTTTCTTAAAAACAAAAAGAAAGAAGTAACCTAACCATGGCAGCCCTAGTCCATGAACCTGGTACCCCCGGGCCCCTTCTTGATACCGCACCCCGTTCTGACCCCCCCTGTCTTTGGACCACTCTTCAGACATTCCTCATCTCTGTACCTATTGCCGGTGCTGTTTCCTCAAACCCGCTTCAGGTACTGAGGCTCGACTGACTCCTTCCCATTTATCAGACCTTCGCTCTCCTTCTGACTATGCTTCCGGCCTCTCCCTCTACGTGCGGCAATTTTCCCAAATCGCCGACCCGTTTCCCCGTCGGACCAACTCTGGTCCCACGCCTAAACGTCAAGACAATTACTGCTGATGATACTTCTCCACCTTCACCTTCGTTCTTCTCAGAAACGATCGACACGTCCTTCACTACCTTTCCCGCTCAGTTTTCAGACTGAACAGTGGGGCAAATTCTTCACTTTACGACCAACTTCCTTACTGCCTATCTTTCTGACCATAGTATTGGCAAGGCACTCCTACGCCATGTTGGTAAGATATTTCTTTTCTGCTCTTAAGAGCGGTACGCGCATCATTACCGTACAGAAAGCTACCAGGCTCGTGAGCTCTCTCGGTCTTTCCCATATAGATACTGTTCCCGTCACCCTTTAAAAACATCATTCCCCCAAATTTTTGTAGTGGTACCGTTATTCTGCCCCATACCATAGTTTCAACAAAATTTCCAGACATGTGGCACCGACATTCTAGAACAGCTGGAACTCCAAAATCTCCCAATCCTCAAGGTAGACACTTACGTTTCTTCCTGCCCGTGGGCGGAGACGATAAACCCCAGCAATGTGGCTCGTTTAACTTTTGACAGCCGAGAACTCCCATCCTCCGTTTATATAGCAGGACATCGGTTACAAGTTCGAAAGGTGATCCCTACACCACAACATGTAGAAAATTGCTGGCGATTTGGCCATTTCCCGCGAAATATTGCAGATCTATCGCCGAATGCCCCGTCGTGGTTTCCGATGACCATTTCTAATACGTCTGCAACGATCTCCCTCTTGCCTTAACTGTCATGAGCTCACCCTTCGTATCTCGCCGTTGTCAGGGCTATTTAAACGAGCGGGAAATCCCTTACCTCAGAGACAGAAGGTCTCCTTATGCCATGGCAGTTTCTCATCTCGCCTCCAAGGGAGACTCCCACGTTTTTTCTTATTCCCGTGTTTCAAAACGTCCCCCCACTTCTGGGATCCCATCTTCTACACCCACCCCTGTGGTTAAACCTCTCCCATAATCATCCCGTATCTAATCCTTTGCTGTCCTCGGGTC